TTAGATGACTCTCCCCACCCCTCCTATTGAAATTTGCGGATGGTTTATTTTTACATCCTAAAGTTTGCGCAGAGCAACACGAAGAGTCCTGTGTTCAGACAAGTTAAGCTATTTGATGTTACAGGAAGTTCTAACCAGCTTTCTCGTGACAAGCCTGGACACCCGTCCTCAAGCTTAGCCGTGTGCACAGTCAGGGCGACAGTGTGAAATACACAACCCAGCGCCGAAAACTGTGTTGTGATGTAGACAGTGGGAAGGAAAAGGAACCAGACTCTGAACATCTCGAGCTCCACTGAGCCCCTGAGCCTGTGTGGCTCCGCAGAGCTGTGAGAAAGTGAGGAAGACCGCTGCCACCTGGGCCAAGGCCCCCAAGGTTTGGCAGGGGCAGGAGGGTACCTGAAGCCAAAGAGTCTGAGGTTGCTGGTGTGGAGTATTGACTCTTACCCCCTCCCATATGGAAATAGCAGCAGCGCCGGGCCCTTTTATTTCTGTTTATTATAGGTGTTCTGTCTCCTCTGTTGCTGACCCTCTTTCTATGATTATTGTACCTGCCCCCTTAATCTGCCATCAGATTGGGGAAAATGGATAATTCTGTTTGCTTTAAGAGTAATTAGATTCAGACTCAGGATCTAATAGCTCTCCCTTGACTTAAAGTTATTACCTGTAGTTGGACTTTATGACATTTCTTCTGATTGGCCATATTCTAGATAGTAAAGCTTGCTATAAATTTAACAAATGTATTAGGATTGCCTGATACACTTCATAAGGCTTTGTCCAAGTCAAACGATATTACAGCTGTAAAAAGACAAAAGTAAAGGGGTAAAGGATGATTTTTTAATATTCATTATCATTAATGTTAATAAATGCTTTTTTGTTGCCACCAGTGACACTGGAGTAGAGTTAATGCCACCAGTTCCTTCTACGTGGACATTTTAGTCGTAAGGAGAGCAGACATTATGACAGAGACCCCCGGTTAACGCTGCCCATTTGCCTAGAGAGAGCCAGGAAGGCACTGGGTTCTAACTGTTCCTGCCCCATTGTGGATGAGATGGTTACAGATCACGGCAATCGTGACCATGAGGATGAGGACAGTGACGATGAGGATAACTGTACTGATTTTAAGGCACCCTGAGCACTTACTTACTCTGCAAAGGGAGCTGTCCCACCAGCTGTGTTCCACCGCATGCTGTTACCATCCCCATCTCACAGATGAGAACACTGAGGCAGGGAAAGGATAAGTAACTTGTTTAAGGCCAGATAAATAAAATAAAAATGAGTACTGGCCTGATGTAAAAATAAACATTTGTCAGGTTTTCTCTATTCTGGGCACTAGAATGCCTTGAGACTTGCTAGTATTCTGTGTGGAATCCATTTTCCTCTTTCGTACGCTGTGTTCTTCATAGTAGTCATGGGCCTTATGGACAGTGCCACACCTGTCACTTTACAGCCACGCCACCTAACAACACTTTGAATACAATGGGTACTCAATACATCTTGGCAAAAGGAACGCTCTCATAGCTAAACTTCCCTACAAGTATTATGAAATACTCGTAATTTCTACTAATTCCATCTAGACATATGTTTTATAGAATCTATGTACCCTTGTGTTTCAGTGTATAATTAAATGATCGTGTCAACATAAGAAGATATACTTTTCAAACATACAGGAAGTATTTAAAACACATGCCAATCACTCTGGTATCAAGATAACTCTAATAATATCATACATTATTACAACTTTGAATGATCTTTCTATCTATAGAGGCTCACAAGTGAAATCATATTAAGACTGTAAATCTAAAGATCTCCATGCAAATGAACTTCATGTAATTTCTGAGATTTACTACCTTTCAGGAGAATGACACGCTGGGGGGAGTTTGATGATCTTTATCGTATTGGTGAGCTGGACAGAGCCCAGATCCCAGAGTCTGAAACAAAAGATTCCCAGGAAGGTCAGTGTCTATGTAATATGTAAAGTATGACTTTTAAATGTTGTCCTCACAGCTAACGTTTTACATCCCACTAGGCAATAAACTCATTTATATATGTATAGAAGCGTAATAACTTAAATCACTACAGTGCTCAATGATGTTTAAGAATCTTACTTCATTACATAAAATATGACTTTTTAAAAAATCACGTGATCACTTAGATTTACCAGATTAGGAAAAGCCAGTGGTTTGAATAAAATTTGTGTTCATAAAATCATTCAATATTTTCTTCAAGGTTTAGTATTGTTTATTATTCCCAGCAGTTTATTGTTAGACCAAGCACCTCATATCTAATCCTCTATATTTGTAGAAGTCAAACATTTTAATTAGTTAATAGATAAATTTAAATAACATTGCTTCTCAGAAAGAGGCAAATAGGCTGGAGTCAATTTATATATAATGGAGTTACTGCAAAGATTCATTTAAGAAAAAGAAACCCACCTAAGTGTAAAAGATCCATAGCAAACCGATGGGCAATGCCAGTTGCCATGATGCCATATGTGCCAGTCGCAGTTGTAGTAATGATTGTGGTGTGATAGTGATCAGAAAGATGTTGGTGGCTGTAATCTGCTGAGACTCTGCTAAGGGCCAGGCATGATGTTTTGCATTTTACATGGACTTTTTACATAGTTATCATATAAACAGATTCAATGAGTAGCAATGCTGATGACTTGGCTGAAGCTGGAGGTAGACGAGGGGGCGGTGTACGTGGTTCACATGCCTGTGACGTTACCAAGCCTGAACCAGGGTGTTCTGCTGGCATTGATGTCAGAAGCCTAACAACTTCTGTTGTTTAGTGGCCTTTTCCCCAAACTATTCTCAATTCTGCCTCCTCTGCTATCTAGGATCTGAGAACCTAGATCCTGAAACAAACACAATATTCCTTCCAGGTTTTCCTTATCATTGACTTACAGGATCTTGACATCTTGTTCTATATGGGCCCTTCCAATTATCTCTTTTAAAATAGTCATCAAACTTAAGGGAATCTAAATATTTTTGCATTGAAGATACTATAAAAAATACATTTGTAATTTCAGACCAGTGCTAAAGAAAGATTAAATATCTATACCTATTGATGATACTGTAATTACAATAGAAAATGATTTAAAATCCCAAAGTAAAATAGAACACAAATGCCACCAGATGGCGCTCTTATTACATAAGATCATGCTCAGTCGAGGAGGTTGGAACAGGTGCACCCATCATCTGGACACAAGCAGTAAGGGGGGCGGAAGGCTGGTTTGAATCTTCTGCATCTTAAGCTAGTCATACACTGTAGTGTTGCCCAATTCCAGTGAATCACGCTGCCCGTCCTAGGTCTGTACAACGCTATACTATAATTTTATATTCTAAACTCTGCTGTAGAAATTATAGTAACAAATTTTGATAAGTAGATTATGGATTGTTTCTGAATATAGTGACCCAATGAGAATAAATAATAAAACAGTGGGCAATTAAGGGGGAAAGTCATTCATGCACTTCTGGAAAGTTCTGGAAAGGCTATTGTGTGAATTGTCTCTGTGATATATTACTAATAGGCACTAGTCCAAAGCATCTTATTCCTCTCACTTTTATAAAAGATGGGAACAAAATTCTTCCAAGGCTCTACATACCATATAAATGGCCTCTCAAGGTCCTTTCTGGTATTTTGTAGGGAAAATAAGACCAACATCTATCTTGTTTAGGATAAGAGTTAAAGTAAAATGGGGTTCTAGAACTGATTGTGTCATTTATAAGTATGACATCTCACTCATGTACCTGATCTGAGCCATGGAGATCACTGTCTGCTGGAGTATGGAGTTCCTTACAGCTCTAATATTCTGAAATGTCACATAGTGCCCTCCCTTCACAATAAATTAAGATCAAAAGAATGTCCAAAATCCAAACATGTGATCTTTGGAAATTTTTTATGAGACATAAGAATTTCTTGTGAGACACTGGTAGAACTTGAGGTCTGAGTTAGTCTAAAATGACACTTTATAATAAATACTGGCCCTAGCTAAGCAGAGGACTGTAATGTTTTTAAATAGTCAGGAAATAGCAGTATTCCTAAAATTAATGAAAACATATACGAATCCACCCAGGATGCAAGGCGCTAGGCGCTGAATGACATGGGCTGTAATCTTTATTCCTCCAGACGATTCATCTTATCACAGCAGCACTCTGAAGCCACACACAAGTGACGAGCCGGGGTCCCCACTGCTCTACAGAACCATGAGTGAGGCCACGCTGGTGAGGAAAAGGATGAAGACTCCAGTGATGGACAGAAAGGACAGGCGGAACCACAGGGCCTCTATTAACGGACACTTCTACAACCATGAAGTGAGTTATAATTCCATTCATGTAGTTTAAAATAATGTTGCCTGTTGCACTAAAAATACCACTCAATTTAACTTAAAAATAATAATAGTAGTAGTAGTATATTATTTATTGGGTGCACCCTATGTGTGTGCTAGGGTGTGCCCAATAAATATACTACTGTGATTATTGTGCTCACGTTTATTGGGCACACCCTATGTGCTAGGTATTGAAATAAGTGTTTAAAACAGGTTTATAATGAATTATCTCACTCATTATTGAAACAATCCTATCAGTTATTTTCTCTACTTACCATAGGAGTTAACTGAGGTTCATGGAGGTTATTTGTCTTAGGCCACACTACTTTTAAGTAGTAACTCTGACCTTGAACTCTTGCTTGGCTCCAGCGCTCAAGTTCTTAACCAACATAACAGGTGGACGCCATCTACATGGCAGGCACTGTACCAAGCACCAGAAACACACCACTGAGTTGGTGGGTCCTGTGCTGGCACGGAGCTCAGGGTGTGAGCAGGGAGGCCCACACATCAACAATCAACGTAAGGGCTCCCACAGAGAGGTTCTTTCAGAGGACATTTGGACTTCAACTTTTAATTTTTTAAAGTCATCCATGAGACTGTTCATTCCAATACCTCAAATTTCTCATTCTGCTGTTTCCTTCCAAATCTCAGACCTATATACACGTCATTTGTTAATACAAGTGTAAATGCAGTTCATATACACCTTATATTTTGATTTTTCATAGAGTATGTTTTAAATGTACATGCAACTTCCATAGTACATATAAGACATTTCATTTTGCCGAAGGTAGGAAATATATCATCATTCTTTTCCAGAACTCAAACAGTTTCCATCTTGTTTACTACAGTAATCACTCGCTCATTCACTTAACAAGTACTTAAGGAGGACTCACCTTGGGCCAGGACCCTCCCGGCCCTTTATGAGAAGTGCTGACTCATTTTGCTGTGGGCTGTTTCCTGTAGGGCTGTCTATGCCCCTCATTCTTGTTACACCTGTTCCTCCAAATGTGCCTTGGGGGTCTGGTGGGGCGAGACCTCCCTTCTCAATTCTTTGTCCAAATTAGACATTTTTTTTTTTTTGGTTAAAGATTCATCCTGGTTATAAAATAGGCTCGACAGTCCCCAGAGATATGCAACTACCAATTGTCCTGATCTCTTCCTCTCCTCAGAAATTAAGCTGAAAGTCATCATCTTACAGGGTGATTTGTGTTAAAGGAGGAAGGCCACGTTGCTCCAAACGAATGGCTTGCATTATTGTTGTTGACCAAACGAGATCAAGCTGGGACTACAGATATTATACACACAAAGCCACACACTATAATTAAATAAGTGACACAAAACAATAGAAGCAAAAAGAAAAATCCAAATCCAAAGCACCCCGTATCAATGGGCACATGATGAAGACTCTCTAGGTATCTTTGTTCATACCTTTCCTACGTTGCTCTGTGTTATGTGTTTTTTCTTCCCCACCAAGAAACCCCTCGGTAGGCCATGAATAATGCACATATTAATTTCAGCCTCAGATTGTGATATTTGGTGATCAGTTACAGTGAACCTGCAGTTATAAATACTTTGATAACGGTTATATGTTTCACCAACACAACTAATATAAAGAATGTGGATTTAAAATAAAGTTCTGAAAATCATGATTCCAAATTCATCATCTGTTGTCACTCTGGAAGGACTCTGGAGATGATCTGGTCCCACTCTCTTATTTTGTGAGTGCAGCTCATTAAGGCCACAAGGTGTTAGGTGAGTTGGCAGAGTTGGACTTAGTAGACGCAGGTCTCCGTCTCCTGAGCCCTAATCCAATGTTATTGTCATGCTCCACGAGGCTTCTTCTTATAAAAGACATCAAACCACATCTCTAACCTACTCCCTCGCCTTAGTACCGAATGGACATATGATTCTCCAGGGCTCCACAGAGCTCATAAATCTATCTGTATGTTTGGACCAGTGCTAGAGAAAGATTAAATATCTCATACCTACTTGATGATACTATAATTATAATAGAAAAGGATTTAAAATCCCAAAGTAAAATAGAAAACCAATGCCACCAGATGGCGCGCTGATTACATAAGATCATGCTTAGTTGAGGAGGTTGGAACAGGTGCACCCGTCACAAGCAGAAAGGGGGGCGGAAGGCAGGTTTGAATCTTCTGCGTCTTAAGCTAGTCACACATTGTAGCTTTGCCCAGTTCCATTTAATCGCTCTCTGCCCATCCAGTAAATGCTAAGTCTGCACAATGCTAAACTATAATTTTATAGTACAACTATAATATTGGTTAAGCCTCTGTTGGTTGAATCCGTGGATGCAGAGGGCTGACTATACAATATGTTAACTCTCCCATGCTCTAAAATGTCCACATTTTAGCACATTGAACTTGCTCATACTTATAAAAGTTTATCCCAGACAGTCTCCGTACATCTTCTCAGAAAACTTTCTTTTTTTTACATATACATGTGTTTATTTGGTTTCCACTTTTTGCCTTCACAAAATCAAAAAGGCTTAAAATTTAATAACAATAACAATGTGTAAGATAAGGACTAGAAACAAAAACCTCGTAAAGAACGAACAAAGATAAATACATTCAGAAAAGAAATCAGTCGATTGCTGCAACAAAATATTGAGCAATGATAATAATGCAAAAAAAGTAACATTCTCATTGTCAAATAAGAGTATGTCCATCATAGAAAACTTATTTACAAACCCATACTTTCACTCATACAAATGCCATGTGCAGACACACACTTTGATGGTTGTTTACCGACCTCCCGATACAGGGCTCATCTCACACGCCCACGGGCCACCCCAGGCCACGCACCTGCACACCTGCCGAGCCCACCCGTTTGTACAGAGTCTTGGAACACTTGGAGGCTGCACGTATAAGTTAAATATGTGAAAATAAACCCTCACTTAACACTCCTTTTATTTTAAATAAAAATAAACAGTCAGACGTCTCCTGACTTTCTCACTTTCTACCACCTGGTAAATAAAGCGTTCTCCCTTTCTGACACTCTGTCACATCTGTGGTGTATTTCTTCCAGATGAGTGGCATAAGGGACACACGTGCCATCAATCACCTGCGAGTCTCCATTCAGTACTTTTTAAAAATTTTCAACGTATGTCACTCGTATAATTTAAAATCATTTTTGTCTACTTAGAGTTGTTATAAACTTGTAAATGGTTTAGAATAGTGCTTGGCACATAGGACTATATCAAATCAATAATTTGAGAATTCCATGACATCCTCTGGAAAAGTATTATCCCCTTCAGGAGTTACATACTTGCCCACTAATCAGTAATTTACTTACACTGACTTATCTAAAAGCTACTTCAGCCCTTGCCCAAACACAGACATGTTTCAATTCCTGTATAGATTTGTAACCAGAAACAGTTGTAGTTGTCCCTTGCTATCTTCAGGGTTTGGGCTGCAGGACTCCCCCAGCCCCTGCAGACACTTAAATCCACAGATGCTCAAGTCTCTTACATAAAATAATGTATTTGCATATAACCTACACACATCCTCTGGTAAACTTTAAATCATCTCTATGACTTATAATATCTAATACAGCGTAAATGCTGTGTACGTAGTTGTAACACTGTATTTGTGTTTTTCATTGTATTATTGATTTTTATTGGTTTATTTTTCAAATATTTTGGAGTCTCTGTTGTTTGAATCTGTGGATGCAGAGGGCTGACTATACAACGCAGGAAAGTCTTGGCTGAACAACCATCACTGGCCAGCATTTCCCCAAAATGTGTCCCATGGACTATTAATATGTGTTACATTTATAAGGGATTCTATTTTAAAAACCAAGATAATGATTAAGCTGTGAGCAAAAAATCCATGGTTACATGTTTATTACAATGATTTTTATGGTATATTACTAATCCCTGAGAGAAATGTCCCAAATTTATCTGATCATGGGAACTTTTGCCTGGTATCATCTGAAAGGCTGACTCTGAGCAGATAATCTTGTAGAAACATTGTCCTAGAGCAGCGGTTCTCAACCTGTGGGTCAAGTCCCACAAGAACTGTATTAAAGGGCCACGGCATTAGGAAGGTTGAGAACCACTGTCCTCCAGCCTCTATTGATAGACTTTCACCCCAGCCCTCCGCTGACCCATATCAACTTGCTGACACTGGAATGTTTCTGATCTACCGAGTTGCCGTTATTCATATGGTTCAAACTAAAAACAATTTAGACCATTATTCTCAGCCAGTAGGAAGTCCTGGGGTAGGAGTTTGAAAAAGCCTATTTATGTTGCTTTTGGTGTGTTTATAGTTATAACATTTAATTTATTTTGAAATCTGAAACTACCCTTAAATGTGATTACCTGGCAAAAATGTCATGAACAAGTTCAAATGGTATTTTTACCCAACTTACTCTAGAAACAATATAAAGCTTCTTAAAAGGATAGACATTAAACAACAAGAAAGAAAAAAAACATTTTTTTTAAACACTGACCTTGGGTTTTTGCCCCACAAGAAGACCAAGTTAAGTTTAAGATATTGACTATTGTTAATTTGATATAATTTTAAGGAGTAACATGACTATTGTTAGTCTGATATAATTTTAAGGACTGATATGACAATTTTTTTGTAGACATCAATTTTTACTCCTGCCTTTGGATCAGAAACTAAGGTCAGAATCAACAGTAACATGAGAACTGAGGAAGTGATCAAGCAGCTTCTCCACAAGTTCAAGGTAATCTTTACCACTGAACTGAGCTATAAATGCCTTATGTATAGTTTAACCGTGTCAAATAAACGTACTCATCTGAGAAAGACCTCTGCACGTATACATCTAAAGCGGATGTTCAGTTCTGAAGGATCCCTGCTTGTTTGCGTATTTTAACGCCTGTTAGTAACTCTCCTGAGCAATTACGTTATTCCCAGTGGAGCAGAGCAGGGTTTGTGTCTAAAAGTGAAAATGGACATGAAGAAACAGATGCGTAATTTGGGTCTAGTCAGCTTAGAAAATATCATATGATAACAAGGAATTCATGTTTGTTCATGTTTTTCCATCAACAGATTGAAAACAGTCCCCAGGATTTTGCTCTTTACCTTATTTTTGCAACAGGAGGTAAGAAAGCTCGTTCACTCTGTGTGTGATCCTGTGTGTCAGAGGCTTCTGCCCAGGGAAAGCCACAGGGCAATTTATTCTGTGGAAAAAAGGGATGAAGGGTGGGAGGGAAAGAGAGGGCATTTCAGGCCATTCTTTATATTCTACAGTTTCAGAGAAAGATAACCTAAGGATAACAAAAGTTTATGCTATAAAGGAGTTTGCTTGTCAGCCAGACATTAAATTATCTGAAAGGAGACTGGCATCCCTGGGACTCTCTCCCAGGGAATACTGGCAGCCTTGTCCTCACTCAACTCCATGTGGCTTTCCTTTGCCTCCCCCTTCTGTCTCCAGCTCTTCTGGGACTCACGATCGCACACTTACTCTCTCCGACCTCGTTCTTGCCTCTGTCTTAGCGCAGAGTCCGACACACTGCGGGAGTGTGTTCTCTTCCTCAGTAGAGAAGCATGTTCAGAGTGTGGCCATGGGGGTCAAGCTGGAAGCAGCACACGGGGCAGGCCAGGTGGGGCACCAGGTGCGGGCGTGATAGAGGGACAGGAAACAAGGCAAGACCCAGCGATGCCAAAATGAAATTTTTTAAAACCTCAAAAAAGAAAAATTTTAAATGTCAAGTTATAGAAAAAAACCCAGGTTATAACTTAGGTGTCACATGCTTGAGCCAGAAATTGAATAAAGTAAGAAAATACATTTTAATGTTGGAAGGACGATAAGAAAAAGAAAACTGTATCTCCAAGTATATAAAAAATTATAATCCTTAGAAGGTAAAAGCTTAAATACATGATATATACTTTAAAAAATGTCAAGGGCATAATATATTCATATTCTAGTGGTTTAGTAAATAAAACTAAAAGGTATACAATTGAAGAGAGAAACATTAGACTGTATAACAATTTAAAACAGACGCGAGGTAGAGGTTGGAGAATATTGTCAATACATCTCAAAAACTTTATACCCACAACATGAAAAGGTTCTTACAAAATGATAACAAAAAGACAAGAAATATAATAAAAATAGAGGAAATCATATAAAAGCAACTCAAAAGAACAAATTAAGATAACTAGTAAATATTTTTAGCAAAAGTCTTAGACTCCACAAAATGTAAGTTTTGCATGTTAAGCCATGTCGCAATTTAACTTGGCACTTACTAGATGGGCAAAGGGTTTTTAAATAATTCTACCAATGGCTGGCATGCATAAGAGTAAAAAGATATTTTCCTACACAACTGGTGAAAATGACTATCTCTTTGTTTTGGAAACTATTCTAGCAATATTTATTAAGATTTCCAGTATACATGTCCTTCAGCCCAGCAATCCCACTTGCGAGAATCTATTCCACAAACATAAAAACGCTAATATCTACAGATCTATGTGCAAGGCCGTTTATATGACAAAAAGCCTAAAGCAGAGTCACGATCCTCGGAAAATGACTGAATAAGTGATTGTTATGCAGCCATGAAGTGGGAGCCAGATCTAAGTTAATAGAATGGAGGAAAGTAACAGTTTGTTCCAGGCAGAAAATGTAAACGGGCAAAGCGGGCAGCATGTGATTCCACCTTATAAGACAATTGCATGTATAGCTCTCTAAGTGTGTGGTATATATCCAGACGACCCAAAAAGTATAGAACAGTCAACACCAACGTATTAACACAAATCATTAATATACATTACGTGGTGGGCAAATGCAGAAAAGAGGACGGGAAGGGGGAGAAATACAAGATGGGGGAAAAAAGAAACAGAAAAAACCCACTGAAACCTGATTTTTACCAAAAAAATTTATTATTTTATAATAAAAATAGCAAAGTGATAGAATTGCCTTCATGTACTGGGCTTGTGAGC